TAATAAAACCTGCGCGTTGGACATATCTAAAAACCGCGCGCGCGTAAAAATTTCGACACGGATCAAATCCAATTCACGACTGAACGGAAACTGTAATCGAAAAGAAATCGAAACTCAGAAAATTGTACGTACAAAGCGTATTGTAATGGTATCACGTACGATAATCGATGCTATTATGACATGTACGGGAGAATCGCGCCTAAGTATAATCCAATATTTATCTCTAACTTCATTGCTCGGATTCAGATGTTTCTTTCATTCCGCACACTGAGCCTTTGTTGCGAGCGAAAGGGACAACTGACTTAGGTGTTGTTTGCAATCGCTTCAACGCGACAGGTAAATTCGTCCACAAAAGATGTGGGAGTTTGTTTATTAGAAATACCTTCGCGCAGGTAGAGGTTCATTGTGGCACATCCCTATCGAATAATAGAATTTTCGGAAATAATACAATGCGTAATTTATGTAGGTTGAAATACAATATTTCATGTAAAAACTTCGGAAACGTTGGTACCTGTGTGGAGTTTTTTGGCGCCATTTTGTTACGAATGTTTTGGGTTCGTTTAGCTTCGGTTCCTGTGGTATTGTTTGTTTGTTTTACGGGCAATTTGCTTGGATAAAGACATGTCTATGGCCCAGATGTTATCTCGCGTTATTTGTGGCGAAGTTAATTGAGTGGTTGACTCATTACGAAAGTGTGATGTTAATCTGCGCCGGATTATACATAATGAGGTCATTTACCGCATTGCCTTATGAATATTTAAATACCTCGACACATATTCGGTGGTGTAAAAAAATTTGGTCTGTTTTATGATCTTTTTATTGTCCAGAACGGGGTCTTATCAAACTGTTGGAAAACATTTCGAACAGTGAACGCGTAATTTTTTACGATAACTATAAATAAAAATTAAATTATTCGAATTCGTTGTGAATAACTACAATTTGGAATTGGGGCGTATCTTTATTCTTGTTTGGGAGTGTGAAATTTTGTAAATACATGAAACGGAACGCAATTTGTAATATTATAAACAGTATTTCCGACCTTATTCTTTAGTTTATAAAACGTGCTATCGCTTGCTGGTAAATTCTGTGATGCAGTAAATTTGCTCAAAGGCGATTGCGATTCAATATATTGTGATCTCATCGAGTTATTCAAGTACAAATACGGGGAATACGTTCAATAGGCCGCGTAGAATGGACCTACCTGGGTTTGACACCTGCTGTTTGTCTACGGCCGGCCACAGAGCATAAATCGAAGCGCCGCGTGAAGTCATTTGTAGGTTGGTAGGCTTGATCTTTGTCTATGGCCCACATTTTTTTAAACTCACAAAATTATAGTGCTGTCATTTGTTTAGTAGTGACGTGGCGTAGTTAAAAAATGCCACACATATAGTTATAATTAACTGTAATTTGAAATATTTGTGGGAAAAACGCTTTTATTGTGAGACTATTTTACAATAGACGAACAGATTTCTACGTGTTTTTGCTTATTTATATTTGTTGTAAAGAGCAATTACGATTAAAGCGAAGCGTTTGTTAGGTGTAATAACTCCGAAGAATTTTAATTAGACGAGTTAATGATATAAGTAGTTGATACTTCAATAGGCCACGAACGATCGCGTTCTCCCAGAGAAAAAGTTGCAATACATTTTTATAATTAAATTAATTAACGTTTTTTTAACCTTTTTAACAAATAATCCACGTATTTTATATCGTAAACTTTCGGTGTTGTTCCTTAATTTTTTAATTTGGAATTCAACAAAAAGTAGCGTTGAATTTCTAATAATCGCAATTTATTATTATAATGAGGTATTTACTGGTTATTATTGGTATTAAATGCGATATATAATTAACATACATTTAGCAATTAGTTGTAAGCAGTAATTAGTAATATTGGCGCCAATCTTAATGGGTACCCGCTCACTGAACCTATAAATAAGGGGGCGTCCATAAATTACGTGAGACTTTTAGGGGGGGGAGGGGGACAACAAAAACCTCACTAAATGTCACGTGGGAGAGAGGGGGGGTCTCGGGAAATATCACGTATTTTTTCCACAAGAAATAGAGAAATAGAGTTTGCCAGAAAACTGGGTTAAATCTTAAGTAAAAAAATTGGCTAAGTTCGTGTCGTGCCACGCGCAGTGTAGGGTTCCGTAGTTGTCCGTCGTTATCACAATATATTTCAGAAGTGAGCAATTACTTAATCTAAAGCACAGAATAAGTAATAGTACAGGTACAGAAGGATTACTCCGCAAGACGATTTAAATAAATGCGAGACTTGCTACGACGCGATACAGTGGAATTCAGCTCGCACAGCACTACGTACCTACAATTTTATTCACCTACAAGTTTTGTCTCTTTCTATCGCGTGCCTCTGAACTCTTCTTACGCTGTTAGGGTTGCTGTCTAGTAGTTTCTAGTAAAAAAAAAATTAATCTACTTCTTTGTAATGAGGTACGTATTAGGTAAGTACGCATTCATTATGGAAAACCTTGGGAGAGCCCTTTGTCCAGCAGTGGACGTCATTAATTGGCTGAAACGAACGAACGCATTCTGAGCAGTAGTCATGGTAGGTTAGGTTCCTATAGTATCCTAAGAATTATTGATTACCTACATGGCCAACATACCTTTCAGCATCTTTGGGAAGCGAAAAAAAAGATAAATCCGGTAGATTTCTTTTCGAATTTAAACACCCGAACGCCGCACAATAATATTTCTTTCTCATTATGTCCATTTTTAAATAATACTTCGATCATAGAATTAGGTACTACAACGCACGCCAGCGTCCTGACGGGCGCGCGCGTGACACTCGACTGATATAATACCCGCCGGCGGGGCGCTTCGCTGTAGGTAATTATCGGATGTACCGCGCAGAGTGAGCCAGGCCTGTCTAAAGTCACTTTTAATATTTTCTTCTAAGGAATTTTTATTAGGCATGAAATTTTATAATACATGAGTAAAACGACTATTACTCTTGAACTAACTGATCTATCTTAACCTCTATAGTGTTCCTTGAAAGTTCATAAAAAGCACTATAATCTTGAATTTTTCCAGATTTATCAAGCCAACAGTTTAGTTTTTAGCGGGGGGGACCCCTACTCGGACAAAAATTGGCACTTTAAACTAAAAAATGTTAAACATTTTGCAAACGGATCCCTAAATCGAAAAATGGTCTTAGAAACCCCTAAGCCATTTAAAAAGACCTATCCAAAGATACCCCACACGATGGGGTAGAAGACGAAAAAAAAATCATCCCCACTTTACATGTAGGGGAGCTACCCTAAAAAAATTTTTTTTTCTAAATTTTATTCTACCGTTTTGTCGGCGTGATTAATATACATACCTCTACAAAATTACAGCTCCATAGTGCCAATAGTTTCCAAGCAAAACCTCGGACAGACAGACAGCCAGACATATCGAAACTATAAGGGTTCCTTGTCAGGACTAAAAAATGATATTTGTATGATGATAATGTCATTTTATTCTATACAATCTAAAAACAAATAAAACTAAAAATGCTTCCGTCTGCATGTGTGAATACTAAAATGCAGATAAATGACGAAATTAAGAAAACTATAAAACAAGTTCTCTTTTTATCAAAATCTATTTTGCTAGATTATTAGTGATTTTATAGAAAGGAACAATGTGACCCTAGTACTAACCGCTGTCACTACACATGTTTTCTGGATCTATTCGTAATCAGTGGGCTCAGTGCGACTTTACATCAATCGTCATCCGCTAGCGACTGCGTAAAAAATGATTGTACAGCGTCCCTAGCAGATACTTTCAAGAACTAAAATCTTCAACTTTATAGATCTTTTTGATGCACTCGTTAGCGACAACGTTAAAGCACACAAAAAAAATGTTTCTCAGTTATATTACTCCAAAACTATTAAATTTCGGTTTTTTTAATATCACGTGAGATTTGGGGGTGGGGGAGGGGGTTAGGCAAAATCTCACCAAATCTCACCAAGGGGGGCGGGGGGGTTGAAAAATAGCCAAAATTGTCTCACGTAATTTATGGACGCCCCCTAAAGGTAGAAGTGAACTATCTTCAGACCAGTCAAAGATTGGTGTTTTTTATTCGAAAATTACGTAATTTGAACATGGAAATAAAAAAATACTTGTTACAACCGATTAATGAACTAACTAAAAAGTTTCATCCACTTTTTACTAATAAATTACACTACTAAACTAGCGATTCAAAGATTTATCACATGTTCAAATATTATTACATATCATGTAATTTAAACGTGAAATTAATAAACAAACTTATTAAAATGATAATTAGCTAATGATAAATAAGTGTCTGTTTTAATTAATGTTATACTTTTTGCATAACAATATACTGAGATAGTGACCTACATCATAAAAATGACGCGAGGACAACGACCGATCGCTAATTAAAAAACAAGTGACGATAAAAAAGCGCTTATTAATATTGCCGCCATATGTCTTGATCTTCAAATGTCTATGTCACAATATTGAACAGTGAATCCGTCAACAAAATTATTGTAGCTTCATCAAATTCAATATTTTTTTCAACTACAAATAGACACCGATAAATACAATTTTAAATGATAACTCAAAATTAGCTTTAATTCCCAACGGTATGGGATGATGAAATCTATAATTAGACATTGACACCTATGCGTGTATGAAAAACGCTAAAAACATCATTTCGTACGTCAACAACATGTCAATTATGAATGGATGGTCACTAATTCACGTAACGTATAGATCGTTTCATCCACGAAGACGCGCCCCACCATTCTTCCGCTAATGTTTTAGTGTTATCGGCACTCGCTAAATTATCCATGAGTGTGCACGCACACTACAATAATGACGCTCGGATTGCTCGGATCAAACTCTCCGCACACCGCGCTTCCCTCGACAAAAAATTGGTGGAGCGCGTCTTCGTGGATAACAGTAACATACCAGAAAACAGGTCAATTAAAGGCAAACAAATTAACTAAATTAGTAATAATGACAAAAACACTTACCTCACTCTCAGTCCAATCGATAAGACTAGACTTCTCTTCCAGAAGGTTCTCGGAGCTTCTCTTCTCGTCCTCTCCGTCGCCTTCGTCCTTAAACACTTTGACCTCATCAGTGGAGCCCAGGTCGTCACCGCCAGAGCTCGCTGCGGAGCTCGAGTGCGCATGCGGCATTTTCATATACTAGCCCCAGCTCCCATTATCCCATCCCAAACACCCAAACTATCTGTCATCCATCACAAACACTACGCCCCCATTTCGTGTGCCACTACGAAAATGGTCCTTCGAGCCGGATCACCATAAGTCTACAGTTTCGACGCTTAGGCTACTTAGGCGATTGTCTTAACTACTGAGATCACAGATAACTTTCAGGTCGAACTTAAGCTAATGGTGAGGTGTTCCGTTTGATTTCGTGCCGGGATGTATCTGAAAAGAAAGGGAGCGGATTAGTTTTTGTGAGACATCTTATTATCTGAGGGTTATGGGTCAGAATCGGTTACACAATATTTTAGGTCAAGCCCCTTTCGAGCCATACGTCAACAGCCACTTTTGGCGGGGAGCCAAGATATAGTATCTTTGGATATATTTTACGCGGACCGGTAAAGGAGATGGACTAATTTATGTTATTTTTTAAGAGAACCACTTAAACACGTTTCGATTTGCACTGTGTACTTTATTCTTCGTCGAATAAACAAAGGCGTCGAAGATTAAAGAGATATCAATTGTTCCCTTTTTGTTTCCGACGTTTAATAAGGAAATCGCTTGGATCCGTAATTAGTTTCTCCTTGTTTGCAGAAGTCGATTGAAAATGATATCGATTTATGGGCCATTTGGTGGAGCTAACGGAAAGTGCTAATCGTAAGAAATATTATTTAAAATGCCTTTCATTTCAATACATTATAGAAGTCATATTTCTTTCTTACAAATGAATCTATTACTGGAAAATGGTATTTAAAGTCCGTTCCTATACATATTATAGTTCTTGCAACTCACGAAGGCGACAAATATGGTTTAAAATGCCTTTCATTTCAATACATTATAGAAGTCATATTTCTTTCTTACAAATGAATCTATTACTAGAAAATGGTATTTAAAGTCCGTTCCTATACATAATTATTATAGTTCTTGCAACTCACGAAGGCGAGTGAGCTTTATTTGTGTATGTACGTGTACATGCACATTACGATAGTGTAATATATCAAAACTGTAACAGAAAACGAACAGTAACGAGCTACCACATATGTAAAGCTCACTCGCCTTCGTGAATTGCAACAACTTTTATTGTCATTTTAGTGCATGTACAGGAAACAGTTTTACAAGTCAAGCGAGCCTAAAGCATTCCACATACATTTCCTCGCGTACGACAATCATACCATCAAATGGAGCATAACCTTACAGGATACAAGTTGCGCGGGCGCACAGAATGTCAAAGCTGGTATGTCACTGAGGTGCGATCGCATGAATAATGACGGCACGCCTGGTGAGAGCTATGCATGTCAATCAGGGAAGATTTAAAAACGTTTAGAACTGAAATTATGGTCCTTCGAGCCAGATTTTTTAAATATAAATACTTTCAAAGTTAATAAAATAAGTACATATTAGAACTTTGGTGTGGGAATATGAGTCTATTGAAAACAGCTTTTTTTCAGATTATGGAATTAATTATGTGCGTTGAGTATAATTCTATTATTACCTAAATGTTATCAAATCATAAATAATCTTTTTGGATGTTGAGAAAATGAAATAATCTGTATTTATAAGGCTTTGAATCGTCAAAATAATCCCAACGTTAAATATAAAAAGTCCTAACAACCCACACGCATTGAATGAAAGAAAAATTCCAAAAGATGTAGAAATGACGTCGTTATGTAAACAGATTTAAAAATAGCCCTCTATCTTACATTTTATTAAAGACGTTTGCACGTAAACATACAATATTTGATTACGATTATTAATCAAATCACAGAAACTACGAGTAAATAGAAATTCGATGCAGGAAACGGGTCGTTTCCTCTACACATGTTATAGATAATGTTATCATTGCCGTCTTACTTCGATTAGGGCATAGTCTTGGAAATTGTTGCAACGATAACCCTTATTGCGATGGCATTAGATACAGTTTTCATTTATTTACGAGTAACATTAAGCAATATTCGCAATAAATGTTTACAATCATAAAATACATTTCGAGTTTGATGCCTTTGCTTTAATTCATAAAATGAAAAAAAAAATTAAAAGTGCGACGTAATGCTGCATGTTGCTGGTTGCCTTTGCTATTAAAGTATTTAAAAAAAGTTAAAAGTGCGAGTTAAGTGCGCCCAATAAAATTTTATCAATTCGCCACGCATTAAAACGTTGCTGGCCAGCACTACGTAGTATCGATATCGGCAGCCTAATCGCATTCTTTCCGTTTCTAATCGATTTCCAACTCGATACTATCGCTGGGACGATTATCGGCCCGCCCGACACCTAACTCGAATATATTACAGTCGCGGAACTGTATCGAACACGGCTCATGATACTGTAACAATATCGCACTATTGCTATAGGCATTAAGTTCAAAATCGTATTGTATTAAAACCCATGAGATGTTTGTTGATGTGAACATTGTGGGCAAACATAACATCAATATAGTGATGTAACACACACCTTACTGCCATCTGTTTACAGTTCAAATTCGACTGTTGAGTTAGCCAAGTAGAATAAATTAAAAGAGTTCAAAGATATGAAAGTTTCGTAACGATGGCAACTAAGATTCTTGTCGCTTGTACAATATAAACATAATTATTCATCTCGCCTCGCATTAAACAGGTGCAATTAACAAGTTAGGTGTAACTACCTCCGATCTGGTTATGGTTATGGTCAAACAATAAAGGTCTTGTTACTTCTCCGTTAACTAGTGTCTGTTTAAATTTATACAAATTTGGTCATTATGATTTTGTATTTGAAGTATCCCTCTTGTATTTTAAAACAGTAGGAGCTTAGGAAACCGTCTTAAGTAATGGCAAATTGTAAATTGTAAGGCTTGAGTGTGTCAGTTAACTTTATAGTTAAGAACCAAGGACTCAAAACGCGTAAAGCTCAGGCACACTTATTTTATACCTTTGCCTGTAACACTAAAAACAATAACGCAAACGTCAAATTATAAAATTGCAAAACCCGTCCCCATTCTAGGTTATACCCTGAGCACTAAAAACTGTTGAACAGTAAAACAGAATGGTGATGCCTTCTTGTAATGGGATCTTGGGTAGGTATCAATTTTATGGGTTTTTTACGACCTGCTATGTGAGGCCTGACTGTGGGTGTGGCGATGCGAATCGACTGTAGGTATTAAAGGATGGCAAATTGTCCCTTTGACCCTTCTGGAACATTCATCTTTGCTACTTTTATCCCAACTAATATTATAAATGCGAAAGTAACTCTGTCTGTCTGTCTGTCTGTCTGTTACGCTTTCCCGCTTAAACCTCGCAACCGATTTTGATGAAATTTGGCATAGAGATAGTTTGAGTCCCGGGAAAGAACATAGGATAGTTTTTATCCCGGTTTTTGAAACAGGGACGCGCGCGATAAAGTTTTTCTGTGACAGACAAAATTCCACGCGGGCGAAGCCGCGGGCGGAAAGCTAGTAAACAATAAAACCTTTCCATAACATGTTGATGCAAATTGCAAACTAAGCATGATATGAATTTTGAACATAATATTGTGAAACTTAACTCTCATTCATTGGAACATTCTAAATCAAGTTAGATAAGCATAAACTTCAGCGTATGATAGCTTGAATTTTCATTTAGTTAAGACCAATCATAGGCTACGGAATCTATTCTTAAGTTTCTAAAGACTCTTTAAAAACTCATGAAACCCACAAGGTATTGATGTTTTGTAAACAGTAAAACTTCAACAATTTCCAATATCATTTATAGAGCTTCATTTCTTTCGCAAATCGCTAATTCCCGATAAACTTTTCTCAATTTCCTCATCTGGAAAGTTGATACCCGTTGCACAATCCTCGACGCTATTTGCTAAGGTTCATGGCCCATAATGGCCTGCTCATTTGCCGACTGACATATCAGGTTACCACCCCATCCTAGGGCCAAGGGAATACACAAATAGCCTAACCCTAGAGTACTTTGCATGCAAATGATGTCCTCAAACGTACTGAAAGCTTGGGTAGAATCGAATTAGTGTTTTTATGGACTCATCTCGTTTGTTTTTTTTACGTTTATATTGTCTACTAGCTTTTGCCCGCGGCTTCACCCGCGTGAAATTTCGTTTGTCACAGATCGTCATAAATTATAGCTTATGTTATTCTGGGTTATAAACAATAATACTGTAAAGTTTCATCAAAATCCGTTCAGTAGTTTTTGCGTGAAAGAGTAACAAACATCCAGACATCCAAACTTTCGCATTTATAATATTAGTAGGATAGTAGGATGAAACATGACTCAAACATTTAAAGTTTTCCTGCGTCATGAGAGACGTTATTTTTATTGCAAATCGCATAAGTATGACACTGTTTTTTAATAAGTAATTTAATAATGAAGTGTTTTTTTATTGCTAAAAGTTTGTCTCATATTCTAATTAATGACTTGTTTAGGATTATTGGAATGGAACTGGGAAATAGTAGGTACAGAATTTGTCCTAAACGCTAAATGTTAAGAAAGTTTTAGTATTAGTTCTCTTCTCACTTAAAAACGGTCTAAAAAAACAATCAAGACATACGTAATTGAAACGTCACTAACAATAGGTATTCTGAATAACAATACCAATTATATTATACCATTTCATTAAAAATTCTTGACAATATTCGTCTACCAACATTTCAGTGGATATGACATTATTTTGCTATGGTTTTAACAAATCTGATAATGATTCTTTATTTATACGTATTATTTGTACGTATTCATTATAATGACACATTGACAATCGAGTCTTTATATTTACAATGGGCTTGTACGATGAACATGTGTGCTTAATAAGAGTTTACACCAAACATCACCGCTAGCGACAGCGTAAAAAATTACAAGAAATGTATGACAGACTGTACAGCGTCTCTAGCGGATCTTTCAAGAACTAAAGTCTTCATAATTTTTTTTGACGCACTCGCGACGTGCGACCACGTTCAATGTAAACTTGCACTAAGCACACAGACTATTCATATATTTTGTTGTTTATAATTGATTGACATTGTAAAGTTTCGGTCTATTTCCAACATCTTACATCTTCTATACAACATAATGTCTATTGAATTACCAGGAAGGAAGACAGACTACTGTGGGACGTCTACCTCAGCCCGCTGTTAAGATGCAAATGAGCCTTTATTCTTATTGCATTCATCTTGTGCATAGAGAAATGTTGGTGGTGTGTTAGTGTTAAGTTTTGTCTATGGTGACACAAGTTAGATTTTAATTTGTGAAATAAATTATGTT